GGCTTCGGCCGGGGCCGTCCGCTCCTCCTTGGGCCGTGAGCGGGGCCCCGCGGGGCCGCACGGCCGGGCCGGGCACGGTGAACGCTCTGCCCTTCTCTTCCCGGCCTCCTGCCGCATTACCTCCGGCTACCATTCCAGCCCGGCTCTGGGGGACAAGGACGCTGTGCTTAAAGCTCTGCTTGGGACTGTTTATCCCTACGTGATTTGTAGGTATGGAAACGTGCAGTAAATAGTCCAACAGTTCCCAGTCTAAGGCAAGCAAGCGTGTTACGGTTAATGCCGTAGGTGATTTTTCAGAATACCCTCTTGCACAGTTGATGTGAATTATCCCCACTGATGTGACAGTAAGGCCTGCTCTGATGGACTTATCTTCCTGTACACGAGATGTGAAAATATTTACGTTTTGTTCGAGTAATAGTTCGAAATTCTTGCAGTCCAAAATTACTGGTTACACAAAAAGCCAAAAAAAATATACTTAATTCCCCAACAGGCCTATTAGCCAGCAGTTTTTCTTTCCTAATTTACTATTTCCTAATTGTAAATTTTAAGCCATCATGCTTAAAATTTACAATTATGCATGCTGCAGCCATCAGTTTGGTTCGAGATACAGCAGCAGTGAAATACCCAAGATAAAATTGTCTTTCTGATTTGCCAATGCCCCTTGTCTTAACAGATTATTTATTAACATCCCTGTAAAATACTACAATCTCTGTTTCTCATTTTGTGCTTTGTTTCCAGCATGAACAGCTATAAAAAGCAGAAATACACAAACCAGTGATGTGCCATTTAAGATTAAGCCACATACTGATTGAAAAGTAACTGATAATCAGCAACAGACAAAGCTTTTCCAAGTGGCTCATTCCGGGCATGTAGAAGGTTCCACAGAGAAAATAATCAATCCATAGAACTTACCAGGTATCCATTACTAGGCATAATTAAATCACCTACATGTTTATTGGGAGGCAGTCAGTAATTACTCCACTGCAGACTTGATAAATCTTGCAGCAACAGTCCTAGGCTAATATACATCTATTCATTTATATGATATATGTTATCATACATATGAATAATTCTTTGAAGACAGTGATTAAGAAAAAAAAAATAACTCAGTATGTCAGCATTTTAAAAAACTGCCTATTTTTTATATTTAACACAGTTGAAGAGAACTCTGGTTGTGCCTAACGTTTGGAGAAATATTTTGGAAATACAAACCTGAGAGCTGTGCAACTTGAGCAGGACTCTACTGTAAAGATACAGCTACATTCAAAACACCACACTGAAATAAGTGAAGATAAGGATTTGCTTTAGATGTTTATTAATCCAAGGTGATCTTCCATAATAGAAAAAACCAGAGGCTTTAGATTTCCCACATCTTCCTTTAGACTTGCATTATCCTTGACAATGGAATGGATAAGTGCAAGTTCTAGGAGGAAGATCAGTTTTTAATTTGACAAGTGTATCACTGAAATTGATATATTGCATCACAAAATGCGCTATCACCACCAACAACAATGCAAAATTGTTTTGCAATTTATAAATACATTTCTTGGAGCAAAAGGAAAGCAAAGTTCTAGATCCATTCTTAAAAAAGATGCTCCTTGCTAACCAGTCTAGTGACACATAAAAGCACCCTTGTAGTAAGACTGTATTCCTCACACCAAGATAAAATTTTTCCCTTGACTTGTGACTTGAAAAATATAATTGTTCCAGAACTGACAATGGCACTAAACTTGGTGATTTCCCCCTATTTTTTTTTTGTCATCTGCTTTATACATGAAGCCTTCTCACTGCTGCTGTCACATCCTCTGCCACAAGGCCCAAAATGGCTCATCTGTCCTCAGAGGTTTTCATACATTTTTAGGATGTATATGAAGGTAAGCAGATACCAAAGAAGTAGATGTTCAGAAATGATTTGTCAAACTGGGTGTTCCCAAGGAACACAGGAGAAGGCATGCTGGAAGTACATCTGTCAGCTTTCTCTACAAAAATAAAATGCTGTCTAGAGGTTGCCCGGGGGCCAGAGCACACCTGGAGGTGCCCGTGAGTTACAGTCACAAAGCCCCGGAGAAGTTCTGCTCTGTGCACCACCTAAAGATGCACAGGAACTACCCTGGCTCTCACACCACCACGAGGATGGATATTCCCATCCAAGGCTTCATTAGTTAGGCTTTTTCACCTCAGGTGCTTTGCTTTTCAAGTGTCCCTTCACTACTGGGGTCGGGCTCTGTGTCCCACCCTGGCCCCCCGGGGCAGGGAAGCGCTTGGCAGAGCAAGACAGCCGGAGTGGAGAGGCTGGAAAACCCCTCCCGCTGCCTGGGAAGCACCAGCACCAGTGGAAGGCAGAGCGTGGCACTGGGTAGCTCAGCAAGGAAACCCCAAAGCACCACCAAATCCTGCTACTCTGCTGATGCAAAAAAACCACACCACACAGACCAATTTTCTGAAGACTGCATTTTGAGTATCATAATATATATATATGTGCATTTCATTTTTACAGATAAAAACTCAGTTTATTTTTAACCTGTATTTAAATTTTGGAGGCTTACATTAAATTAAGGTAGCTTGTTTAATATCAATTGTAACAGCAGGTGACATTTTTATATAAAAACAGCCTAAAGAAAAAAAAAACCAACCCAAACATTTGATTTAAAAGACCTGACACCAATGATCTCAAGGCAAGATCAAACGCCAATGGATTTTGCTTTTAGAAAAGAAAAAGGGGGCATTTAAGCCAACCCATTCACAGCCTCTCCCTGCTGGCTTCTTCATACAGTGGTTTTGATAGTGGTCCCAGAGGGAACTGTATTTTGCCTCTCTAGCTAAAATACTAGTTACTATAGCAACTTTGAAGGAAGAAAATTGTGGCTTCAAAACCAAAAGATTGGCAAAACTTCAAATACACTGTCTGGATCAGGCAGACAACAGCACACACGAATGGTGCAAGTGCAAAAAGAGGGGGAATGAAATGCAGGAGTAGTGCACCTGCACTACCATGAGCTGGAAAAAGAATATTTTGCACACCTGGGGTTAAAAATTTCATTTATATCCCATAGCCTAGATCAGCCAATGACACTCTTGTTTTTAATAGATTGCATATGTAGATGTTTTACCCATACACTTCAATTGACCTTTAGAACTTCACATCTCATTTACCTTTTTTAGAGGGTAACTTTTCTTTGTGCTTACAGTACACATTTGTTCAATTTTCTAGCTTGTACAGTGAGATCTTTAAAAAAAACAAAGGACACGGAGGGTGTTGCTATTTTTTCTTTAGCAGCAATGAAATATCACTAACCCCTTTTTACATATCCGAATTCAAGTCACAACCAGAGGTGACTGCACCACAAAGTCACCAGGTACAAAACTGCTAGTTCATTTTAAATTAATAACTTGAAATTATTTTCCCCAGTACATCCCTTATTTTTTATTTTTATAAACAGCAAACATTTTGCTATTTTTGTACATAGGCTAGCAGGCTTGTTTCAATATGAAAGTGCTAATTCATTTACAGATTTATCAGTTATGTAGTGCTACATTAAGTGTCCAATATTCTACATATGAACAATCTTGATAAATGGAAATGATGAAGATTAAGTAAGGCTATCTGATTACCTTATCTTATTTACATTAAAAGAATAGACACCCAGTAGTAGGGATAAAAGGGAAAGAAACTGGGCAAATACTCATACTGCCACAGGTGTAAAAATTAATTCTGCCTTCTAGCTTGTACTGTAAATGAGACATTTTAAATAGTCCTGCAGCCCATGTCTAGTTTTTTTTCCTCAGAAAAAGAAAAGCTGCCTTCATGACATCCCCTCTTGATTTCCGATCTCCAAAGTGTGTCATTTGAAGCTTTAAATTCAGATTCTTCCTATCTTCAAAAAACCCTCTGGTTTGCTTTCCAGTATCAGGTTGAATAATCAGGTCCCACTTCTGGGGCTTTCGTCCAATCTATTTATAAATTAGTTTAGAGTGAGTTGTAGATAACATGAACCAGTTCTGGAACCACTATTGGGAGGAACACAAGCTCTTCACTACAATCACACAGTAGCAGGAAAAGTGGTAATTCAATTCATTCCTGGGGCAGGGCCTCCAAAATTAAATGAAGTTGGCACAACTGGAGCATTGAATTTGTATCCTCCATGCTTTTCAATCATTTTGGATTCTAAAATAAAACAGAAAAGAGAAGGAAGAAGTTTTAGGGTGTGTAGAGGGGAAGACAGACCAAGATTCTGTGACTGATCACTTTGAGTCTCTCAGAAATACAGGTTCAATCTGGGGTTACCCAACAAAGGAATCAGCACCCACAAATGGAAATGTGCCAGGCCCCAAAGAACAGATGGACTGACTATTTACTTTAACTTCTCAATATTGTTATCACCATGCTTACATGAATTTGTACTTTAAAAAGCCCACACTGTAGCTGTTGGAAATTACTGTAGTTTTGAAACAGGACCTGAATGAATGCTGCACTTATAAACTTGGCAAAAGGCAGACAATTCTTTCTGGTTAACATCAACGGACTTCACAGTTAAATCAGTAAAAAGAGCACGTGTGCAAAAAAGCAGTATATAGGTATTGGCTAAATTTTTGGTGTTCCTATCTCAATTCAAGAATATAAGCAGAAACCACCACTGAAACACCAGAAAAAGCCTTTTTACACATGCTCTACCCAAGAAGGTAATTCAGACTTTAGGTTACTAGACCACAAAACATAATTCTAAGAGAAAACTACCAATAGTTTGGTAGACTACTACCAATAGTAGAGAAAACTACTGATCACTTTTCGTTTTTAACCAAACCTTAAGATCTTTAGACATCTGAGGTCGACATATCCATCACTGTAACTACCAGTGATAATTAAGATGTCTGGTTTACCAGACATCTTCAATCACTGCTGTAGGACAGGTTTTCCATAAAACAGGTTTTTACAAGCTCTAATACAGGGACAACTGAAAATCAGGTTGGTAATTTAGGTACCTTTCCTACAATCTAGATACTGCAGAAGGTGGTTTGTACTATTCCCAGGCCAAGATAACACCACCTACTAATGTCTTCTGTTGGTCTTAGAGCTTCCTCCTAAATCAAAAGTTGCCATCTCTCTGGGAATACAGGATAACTCATTATCTAGCAAATCTGCATTTTGGCTGTTTCTTTGGAAAAAGGCCAGAAAGATGTTCTCATGGCTAATAAAGCATGGGGGGAGAATCCCTCACAGCTCCACAGAAGACATATCTGTCATATCATATCTTCTCATATGGAAATTCCTCTAAGCTACATTAATAAGGGAGAACTGTATTTCAAATCCTTCCAACAGCACATCCCCATGTGTGGCAAGTGGTCTAAATGTAGTATTAGTGTGCTCTGAGAGCAGGCAAGAATTGCCCATAAGGATCTGGTTGGTTAAACTTCACAACTTCTCTGAAAAAACAGTACAGAACAAACAAACACACATCTCAAATTTTTTTGTCTCCATAAAATGCAGTAGTATATAATTACATCATATGATGTCTACTGCTTGATAGGGGTCACAGTGAAACTGTATTTTATAACCATTAAAACTGGCTCATTCTGGACACAAATAAGCTTTGTGAAGTGATTTAGGCTGTTAAAAAAATACTTACTAAATATGTATTCTTACTACCAATCTTTTCATTGAAAAAATTGTGAATTTCTGTTTTGAAACATCTGTAGCAATTGCTCACTAAGAGGATATGAGGCTGGACTGATCCCTCAACATTCAGTCTTGACTTTAGAGTGTGATACATATTGGCTTACTCTCAAAAGGGAAAACTCAGAAAAAAAAAAAGATAAACTGAATACAAATTTAAAAATCTGTATTATATGTAATATTTAATATTTAATGATGTGGCTTTACAGATGGTACTACTTTCATAATTTAGTATTCTCTTACCCACAGAATTACTGTCTATCCCAGCTGGACTACGTCACATCTCAGGAAATAATTTATCAGCCACTTGATGTGTTTGTTAACATACCTGGAATTCAACTACCTTCAGGTAATCAAATCAATTGTTTTAAAATCCAAGCAATTAGGACAAATACGCTTTTATTTCCTCAGCCATCTCCCAAAGCAGTGGCACATTTCTACCATTCCTCCCACCTGTGGTATTGCCATCCAGTTTGTGACCTGACAATTTCAAGAGATTTCAAACAACCCTGTTTTGATGGAGACATTATCAGGCTTGGATTATAGGCCTTTTCTGTATTATGCTTCCTGAGCACACCCAGGGCATTCACAGAGCAAAAGGAGGTGTTATTGGTATAAAGGGGTGCAAATACCGTGTGCTGCCCGCCGCTGATCTGCCAGGGTCGCTATGTCCTGCAGCTGCTTCCTTTGTTCTTCGTTCAGGCCCTGTGTCAAAGCCTGGTACCACACAGGGTTACGGTTCTGAATTGCTGCAGCAGAAAGAAAACATAACTGTTGATTAAAATGTTCTAGAACTCAAACCTTACTCACTCACTGCCATTTTAATCAGTCATATTCCACTATGGTTACATAATTCAAGGCATTTGAACACTAGTACAGCTTCTGACCTCTTCCCTACCATGATAAATTCATTCAAGCATCTCTCTCTGTTCTGAAAGTTTAATGATGGCATTTCCTTTCCAATGAAAGAAATGGTTCAAGCATGTATTGGAAAGCCTGTTTGGAAGTTTCGAACAGGTTCTAGTTTAGAACAGTGTACACAAAAGTTGAAATGTAACTTGTTGGCCAGGAAAAGAAATACAGTTACTTACTCTGAAAAATTGTTTTAAATATCTGATATTCATCAATAGGGTTGTCCTCATCATCAATAATCGTGGAATAGCCTTCTAAAGCAGTCTCTTCAGCATCATCTTCTTCCCAATCTTCATCATCTCCATCTTCACCTGCCTGTTTTGCTAGAATTTCTAGGTATTCTTGACCATCTTCATCAATGTCATCTTCATCACTCCCCAGCTCCTCTGAGTTAATTATAAACAAGAAAAGGTTAATCTTGAGAACAGCAAGAACAATTCTTGACAAATGTGGCTAAAGATAAAACAGGCAGTGGAAGTGGTAACAATATAGTGCAGGCTGGAAAGGGGAGAGCTCATTTAACCCAGCCCTGGAAGACAGTTTCTAAGAGGGAGTGCAAAGTAAGTCAGATACACTTAAAAGCTGCCAAAAGATGTCCAGTGTTCTACTGCAGTGCTTCACTTTTGGAATTAGGGTGCCCAGAAGAATTCCACAAAGGAACTCCATATCTACATCAGAAAAGGATGAAACATACAAAATAACATCAAGGGCTTCGTTTCCATACCTGTTTCCTCATCTTCTTCAGCTTCATCATCATCATCACTGTCATTTTCATGCTCTGCATGACAGGCATATGCTCTTTTCAATCCATTAAACAGAAGGATAAAAGCTGGCAGGATCTGCCCAGCAACTTGATTTAAAACCTGTGGTATTTGCTCTAGATCAATAAGAGCACACAAGCCAAGCACACACATCTTTCTGTCATGAAGTCTACAAAACAGAAGAGTAAAACAGTTGTAAGTTTTGTCATGATTTACAAGCAGGTCATACACAGGTGTATCACAGAGAATCATCTCCAGAAATACAAACACTTACCCTAGGAAACAGTCCACATCATTAAGCCACTGAGTTATGAAGTGATTGGTGACAGGCTCCACATTGTTGGGGAAACGAAGATTTTCCAACGTGTTTAATAGTAAATGAGGATTGTAATACAAAGCAGCTATGGCAACCTGGAGGCACATGGTTCGCAGTTCACTGGTTTTCACTTCTCTGGTCAGTCTCTCCAAGGCAGCTTCCACAAACAAGGGTATGCACTGGACAGTGAGAACATTATATGCTTAGTGATCAAAAATAAAACTCGTCCTTCTGTACTTCAACAGTGTGGCACATAAACACAGATGGCATAAAATTGAGTCATTTCTAATTGCCAGCAGAAGTGTCATACAAAAATGAAATGAAAATGTGAAAATATTTAATCACATGGATTTTGTGACATCCTGCACAGCAAATGTAACTTCTGGTTCTATAATCTTGTGTATTAAAAATGGAAAATAGAGAAAATGTGTACACTAGGAAGTCCAGAAAAATCAACTTATTCATCTTTCAAATTCCTACTGCCATATGTGCATAATGAAGTCCCTGGTCCCTCTTTATTACATTGATTTGGATTCTAGGAACTTCATTCTTCGTTATTTCAAAGCTATGAGCTTGACAGATAGAAATATTTTCTATAAATATTCCCTAGAATTAACTTAGAAGGCAATTAATTGACTTTTTAGAACCAAGATGCTCCTGAGGTAGCACTCTTCCAGACTCATGAAAACACCAGAGTTTTGCAGTGTCCTAAATTCTGGAGCCGAAGTGTGCGAGGAACTCTCTGCTGTGCTGTCAATGAGTAACACTGAAGTGCAGGCCAGGATTATTGGTAGCACCACATGAAGCACTCGTAACAAAACTCATCTTTATATACAATCAATCCATACTACACAATAAAGTATTCGTTTTAGCAACCAAAGTTGTTACCAACCTGATCAATGCCACGCCCTTTACACTGAAGAATAATTACTTCTAACAGCTTTGCTGCATGACATTCTGCATCTTCTCCAGCAACTCCTGTAAGGACCTGAAATACAGCCATTACTGGTGGTGTATCCCCTCAAGGAGTATTCTCTGTACAATGCTTTGTTTTGAAAAGCTGCTATGAATTTATCCCCTCTAATAATCCCAGCATAAACAGCCACCAGTGAAGCAGCCAGATCTACAGCAAAGGCTCAGTGTGAAACTAGAGACTGAAAACTGCTGGAAGTGGGCAAAACTAACCTACACATACAAATATTCAAGAACTCTATGGATGCTGAGCCTACCAATTACTGTAAAAGCACTGGCTGCCATTTTGCCAAGGGTTATTTCTGTACACAGAAGAAAAACTTTTCTTATGCATTAATGTACTGAATTTTGTAGAAGTTTTATTTACAAAAATGGGATATCCAGTGGAAGACCATGCAATACCTAAAACTTGTGTTAAAAATTCGCTGTGCTCAGCTAACATCAATCACTAAATGGTCATCATTAAAGTCATGGTCACAGGCTAATTTTGTATATATATAACATTCCAGAAATTACAAACACTCTAATTGGCCTGGTTGCAACTTGTTTTCAAACAAAGGCTGGCACGAGTTATTCACTAGTATTAATAGAATACTAAAATAGTTATTTACTGTAATATTTAAACATAATCCAAAGAATTACTCAGGAAATACCACAGGAAGCAGAGCTGACAGTTCACCAAAGCTCTTACATTGAGACCAGAAACCATATCCAGGAGTGGAATACTGAAATCCCTACATATTACTATTAGAGATGATAAAACATTAATACACACCTTATAAAAAAAGTGTTCCTTTCCTCACATGCTGCTAACACTCCGGAAAGCTGTATATTCTACGTTTTGACTGGACAAAGAAAGCCCAGTAATATAAAGCAGAATACAGAAACCCTGCCCAAAAGTGCCTGGACTGAGTCAGACCAATTGCATTCTGATCCCAGTTTTCATCACTGACATGGCATGAATTTGGGGACATAACTTCCTATGCCTGTCCCTTTACCTTCCACCCCTACACCACTTATTTAGCTAACAGGTGTCAGACCTTCAGCACACGTACAGCATGTGTATCCTGGCCATGGTGAGGCTACAAATTCCAGATGAAAGAATCCACCTACCTTTTGCAATACATCTTGCATGCCCATATGCACAAAGTGTATTGCACCAAACCTGCTTTGTTTATTCTGCTTTTGTTGTGTATGATTTATTTTTCCCTTCTGCCAAAGGCACATATCTGAAATTTTGATGCAATCTCTTCAGTAACTTAGTAATTTGGGGAATCTTATAGGATGTTAGATAGCAAAATGCTTTAAAGAGTAGATGTCAAAAGCTGCTGTGGAAGAAAGTACCCAGTTTAATACTCTTAATTCTTCAGAGATGTCAGGTTTTTTTACCACTCAGGAATCCACTCACCTTCTTGCACATACTGTAGATCATTTCAAGATATTTTGTGTCTGACAGAAGTGTATCTGTATCAACAGTAACATAATTATGCAAGAGAGGCATCATATCTGTATTAAAAAGAAGGATGATCACAGTTAGGTATCATCTGCATGCTATTAAAATCAGGTTGAAATTTGAAATTGTATTAATAATTACAGTTCTTGCTTAATGTTTGCCAAGATAAGTGTGTGCAAGTCATAGGTGCCCTTAGCAAAACAAGTCTGGTAGCAGGAACAGCAAAATAAAAATACTTCAAGTGTAACCTCACTTGAGTGTTTTCCTAACATTTCAGTCATGATGCAATTCACTGTATGGCTGAAATCCCATCCATGAAACCATCTGGCTTCCTGATGTATTTATGTTACTTACCAGTAAAATAATCAAAACCATCCTGCTGGAAGACTTCAAACACAAGAGGAAGAAGCTGCCACATTTGTGCAGAAACCTGTTGGCAGGTCAGACTATGAGCCAAGGAGAAGATCTCCTCGTAGAACTCTGAAACAAACAGAATCTAGGTAAATATCATGCCAATCCCATGCACTTTTAAAGTAAGCCAGCAGAAATACAGATACCTAATACATGCTGCTGCAAAACTGTTCCAATCACTTGCAAACAGATCCCTTCCAGCTGCTGGGTAATCTGAAAAAAAAATTGAAAATGGAAAGGACAGGTAATGACTATTTCCAATACTTTGGAGTTGAAATGAAACACATTTTAAATTTTGTCGAATCAGTTTCTATACATACAATCTAGTTTTTAAGAACAATTAGAAATACCTCACATTTTAAAGCACTAAATGTATAAGAGCAGCACCCAGCTAAGGATTTGCAAGACAGCTTTCAATACAAGGTGTTTTTTAAGGAAGAATCTCATTATAGGGTATCCTTTAAAAATAAAAGCCTGACTAACCCTATGCACCAGTTCAGTCCCATTAAAACACAGTAAGCAAATATATATATGTTTTCCCAAATACCAAACCATTTCCCAAACCTAGCTTAGGATATTCACATGATATGGAGAGCATCAGTCTAAATGCTGGTCCTACAGATTCAGTCAGTGTTCCCAATTAGTGCATGTTAGTCCATGGAACAGCTAACAAAAGTCATTAATCTGATGAGGGCACTCACCTTGCACAGGGACAAGTAAAGGCTGAGTTACTGGTCTTAGCTATGCAGAACAGGATTTGAAACTAACCTGCTAAATACCTTATCTCTTGGAATACTGGTCATCCTGTGTAAGGTGTCTCTAAATATAAATATTTACTGGTTAACATTTTCAAACTGAGCTCCTCAGGACTAGCATATCATTACGCAGACTTTTAATTTAGAAGACAAGGGTTTGCTAACAAAAACAAGTACATTAAAAGCTTGATAAACAGCTCTAGCAACAAGTAAATGAGCTGAGGTGGTCCTTGGTTTATTGTGTGGCAGCACTGGATTCTGCCCTTGGGCATTTGTATGATGCTGCTTCTTTAGCGAAGTCTTCAGAGCCCTACAGTTTATTATCAAACCCTTTTGTCACTAAAAAACTATAATGTATTTATTAGGAGACTGTAGCTGACTTTGTCAAGAAAGATTTTAATCAGAAATAGCATCTTTTGAACTGGCTGTACTCTGGACAGAAGTGATTCCATTCAGTAGAACAAAACAAAATGACAGAAGTTTGAATCCCAAAGGAACATTCTCCAGGGCAGATGAGGCAGGTAAAATTCCCCATCTCTGAGCACAGCCACAAGAGCTGTATTTACCCACATCGATTCTGTCACGGAGAGCAAACCCAGTCAGCAGAGTCAATGTTTGCAGCTATGTGAAGCTTTATCTGTTTTGTTTGAAGGGCAGACCTTATCAAATCAGATGTGTGTTTCCAGCTGAGACAGAGTTCCATCTGCTAGACACATTGATTCTACTATTTGAACAAACAGCTGGATTCTTATGGGAAACACTGTGGCAACACTTATGCTCCATTACTACATGCATTGCATTAGAAAAGTGACCAACTCTGTTACAACTTGGCTACATGATAAGTACTTCACTATTTTCTGTTTTCAACATCTTTTTGCCCAAAAGGACTGTTTTTCAGGTAACAGTGCAAGGAACACTGTGACTATGAAAGACTTACAGTGTTCTTAGACCATACATATCAGCTTTAAAGTAATTTTTACTTACTTCCTTGTGATCTTCAACTACACTGAGAAGTGTATCGATAGTATTCAAGATTCCCATTGCTGTCACTGCTTTGTCATCACTGCCCTCTTCATCTGGACCAGTCTGGATCACCTGGTTAAATGTCATTGCCTGCACATAATAGCAGAACAACCCATAAATATGTCATTAAATTGTGAAAGTCTGGCATTCTGCAGAATTTCAGAAGGCTTTCTGCTGAGAACACGTGTACAAATAATAGCAGGTGACTGCTCTGCTCCAGAATCTCTTTTCAGGATGATAAAATTTGAGTGTTAAGCCACTGGAGCTGTCACCCTTTATCTACTCATGAATAAAAATATATAAATGACATTATGTCCCATGCAAAAGAATACATTGTCCCTTGGTAAGTTCTTCTGACACAAGGTTTCCTCAGTAGCTGAACTAGACCAGAACACTTGGCAGGCATTCCCAGAGAGGACATGCTAACAATTACATTTTAAATCCAAGGGCCTCTAACAGGGAAGCACTGAGCTGACCTCTGCTTTTGCAGCCATTAATATACAATGTGCTAGATTTGGCCATTCAAGTTCTGAATTTCTGCTGCAGATTCAAGTTTATTTTCACACCAAACTTGTCATTTAAAATCTACTCTTAATATTTTAAAACAGACAACCTAAATGACGTCTTAGAGACTACCTAAAAAGTTTTACCAATTTCATTGTTGCACTATAGGAGGAAATATACAAAGATTTTGCAAAGATTTCTAGAATTGTTCTTAGCAATTTCCACTCAGTATAAGTTATGAAGCCACTTCTGATGAAAAACTGTCTAAATGTAGAAGAAAATTACTTGTATCGATGCACTAAAACAGACTGGAGTAACAACAGCTATTAATTGATGGCGAAACTCAACTATCAATTTTAAATACCAATCATTCCCATATTAAACATGTCCCCAAGCCACCATAAAGTCTCACCAAATGCTGTGTCATTTCTACTGCAATTGGGGTAACTTCTTCACTATATTCACAGATCATCTTCTGAATCACATTAGTAAGGTCATCATTTTCAGTCTCTCTTATAATATGAAGCAAAGCTTGCATTACAGGTCTAATGAATGGAGTAATATATTCTTTAGCTGTAAAACAGGTGGAATGTTTGAATTAACACTCTTAAAAAAAACACAGATCAGTCTAAGAACTTCAGCCTCAAAGAACTTTGTTTAGTGCTTCAGCATTAATATGCCAAAAACATTGGTAGCATAAATTATTGTAGCAATACTGCCATTCAGAACAAATTTTTAATAATATATAACAAGAGGATCAAAATTTAAGTATGAAAACCAGAGCTCTGCATTTTGAATTCATAAAATGCAAAATTACTGATCAATGCAAATGTTAATTGAATAGCAATGGGTACATATACACCTTTGTCAAATTACCAGAAGTATTAAATATATAATGTATGTTTGCTTTGTGACTTTTATGCCAGCTCCGGGAATACTAAGCCATGTAAAACCTACTTGGATCAAGACAGCCTTTTTTTCCCTTTAAATAAATTTTAACATGAACAAATATATGCTAAGTCAGATATTGCCACTGTATTTCTGATTCAATTATTAGGTGCTATGAAACTGGATTTACTGTACCATGAAGCTCTTTGACCATGTTTTAATAATCATGTCTTATAATGTTAAAATGCAATTTATTGTATAATTTAGTAAAAAACCCTAAACTTTTCTAGCTGAAAGATTATAGTAAATGATTACAAGTTACAATTGGAAGAAGGAAATTAACATCAGGGAAGATGAGAACAAGTCTGCGTGAACATCACAAAGTTAACACCTATTCCATTAAAGCTTCCTGTAGCTGTAAGAAAGGGCTCCTACCTTTCTCTTGATTACTGATGAGAACTTGAAGAGCTATTGCAGCTTCCACTTTCACAGGCATTTCCCTATCATCTATCAGACACCGTCTCGTGAGTTCTAAGGCTGTCTGGAGATTCTGGTCACTTTTAAATTTGACTTCACAGAAATAATGAAGAACCCAGCAAGCCTGGAAAAAAAAAAAAAAAAAAAGACGTTGAAGAATTTCAGAGCTGCAAAACCTACAGAAAGGATTATCAACTATTTGTATACCCATAAACGACACAAATTGCTGAATCTGAGGTGAAAACTTCTGTTGAATAAAGATACTGTAAGACTCTTCAGTAATGAAGATGTTTGAGAGTGTGGAGGCTGGTCAGTGGGAGGCTGTCCTGCAGACATCACTGGACCAGTACTATGATCTCAGGTTCATCTTTGGCCACAGGTTTTGTGTGAGCAGTACAGTCTACGTGCAGAACACACACAGACCCTACCACCAGACACAGATGGGAAACTGTGCACACACAGTGCTGCAGCCATTTCAAAACTACACAGGGGCTATCTATAATCACATGTAAAAACTGGTACTCATCCCTGGAATAAGTCTACAATTTATTGTGAAAAAGGAGCATAAATGAGAGCATCTGTGAGAGGGAAGAAGTTGAAGATTTCTGAATTCTTCAATTGGAACAGGCAGTGTATCTCACCAGTAAATGCCACACTTTCTTACCCGCGCTCTCATGTAACCCAGCTCACTGCTGAAGAGAGGGAACACATGATTCTGCAACATATATTCCATCTGATCCTTATAGATCTTCTTCTGTCAAAATATGATGGGAAGCACATCAGTTTAAAACTTCATATAAAATGTATTTCTATCCTGGTAAAAATGTCACACACATTAAACTGTGAAGAGTGTAACAAAACTCTCACTTTTAACTTATCCCTTTTTAAAGTCAATTATGCAACAATCATCTCCTGTTTTAGTAATTAAACTTGGATCCTATGTGGATTTTTAAATTTTTTAGTCATAATAGTGACAATTTTTCTCCAACCCTTTTTTGACCCCAAGAGACACCTTACAATTGGCAACACATTGGCATCAGAAGTAAAAGTGGTCATGGAAACTACTCAGAACTGTGGTCCAAATACAAGTTCATGCCATGCATCTATATTTTGCTACCATTTTAATTGAGCAATATCACAAATTTAATTTTATTTCCTCTCTTCTATACGTAAAAGAGTCCATTAAATAAACAGCCTCTCATTGAAGAGAGCACTTTTTTCCTTCCTTCCTTCCACAAAAAAGGGAATGTAATTAAGTGTAGCACAGAAATGGTGTATTAACTCTCACCAGAAGCACAGAACTTAAAAGAACTTAAAACAATACTCTGAACTTGAACATGACCTATAAAATTTTGGTAATTAAGTAATTAAGCTGACATTAAACCCAAAACAAAGGAAACAATTTTAAAAAACCTGGCAGCAATTCATAAACTTGTGAACTCAGAGCTATTTGCATTTCTTCTAAGGCACTCCATGTTAGAGAAAGCATAGGATGGGCAAAAAAAAAAGATGAAAAGAACCACCAGATCTGTTCTGCTTACTTTTAGGAGAATTTCAGCCAAAGAACCAATCATATGTAAAGCACCATCTTTCTTGCGAGGATCAGCGTTTGGCTCCGTAAGGATTTGATAACAGAAGCCCATTGTCTTCTGCAGGACCTAGATTACACGTAAGGTTAGTCAAAGTAATCCAATCAATCATCCCAGGTACCATTTTCTGTGCTCTGAGATGCTACAATATCCAATAGCCTGCTCCAAGTCTGGAATTTGGGCAATGTTTTATGTCTTTCTTAGAAACACACAATATTCTATCAAGAATGGGTCCCAGAGAATTTGCAAATACAAAAATCATGAATAGAGCAGTGCAAAATAAACTTGAAATTTCAAATTTTAGCATACTATGATATGAGAGCAGATAAGTAAAACTTTTATTAATAGCTCTTTCAGCAAATAAACTGAATTTAGCTAGTAGTATTTCAGTATAATCCTTGAACAGCTTACCTCTTTCCTTTTACTACACGATGTAAACAATAATGTCTGAGCAGCAGTTGTTGGAGAAATGAAGTCTTCAAATACATCTGTTAAATAACATTGTAACAGTTATAAAATCAGGTCCTTTACTACAGTTCACGATCCAAATGTATTTAATATGAGAAAGACATCACCCTTCAGGTGGTTAATCATGCTTTCTTGCTAAAGATATTCCAAGTCCAAAGAGTAACACATAGCTGACTACATATATTTCATGTTTTTCATGATGACTGCCCCATATGTCTAATTTGAAGTTCTATGTCTTTAATTTTTAAGAAAAATATTTTGTAACACAAACAGTCAAATTTTGACTGGATGCTATTTACTCCACAGGCCAGTACACAGAATTAATTGGGTTAAAAAACTCTCCGTTTCTCATTTCTCTGCAGAAGAGGATTATCAGAGCCTTGTGTAATACCTGTAGTGTTTACAGGTATGCCTCTGACCTGAGGGATAAAAACTCCCAAACCCCTCAAGATTCCTTATTCTAGCCACATTAACATTCCTAGTGGAGGGAAGAATTTGTTCAGGGAGTCTGAAGCATTTTTTTGTTCCCTGCCTTAGAGGACTGCACAGACCTCAGAGTAAAGCCCAACACAAAGTAGCAGAGCACAGGAGGTGAAATGGGACAAGTCTGGAATGCTGGGCTTACTCCATAATGTGTCATTTACCACTGGGATAGATCTGCTCTGAACTGTGCCATGGGTGAAATTCCCTAAGAAATCCAGGACCTGAAATATTAGTTGTAAGGCATAACCTTTAATGACATTTAATTTATGTAGTTTTTGTTAGCAAGACCAGGCCTGTTTGACTTGTAATAAAAACTTTGTAACTGTAAAAATGAAATACTTTTACAAGTACACAAACTCCTCTGTCATTGTTGACTGTTGTATCCATTCTCCTTTCCACAAATATGTCCAATTTAACTCTATTATTTGGGTTAATATACTGTTTCTCTTTTTTTCAAGACTAAAGCCATCTCCGTTTTCACAAAAACACCTCATAAAAATCCCATTTTCGCATGAAATCATTTTTTAACATGAGTAGATTTCAAACACTTACCAAATTTCATGCGGATATATTCATATGGATCTTCTTGCCAAAGCTCTTCATCAGCATCTGTATAGCACATCAATGGGAAAATAACATCTTGGATGATTCCCTGGAATAACAAAAGAGATTGAAAAGAGGTTAGCACTATTAAATCAATCTCCATATTCTGTCCTGTATTTTACAGATTTTCTCCATCCTGTCACTTCCTCATATAAAATGGTAACATTGAGTGGATTTATGTGGCACTTAACAGAAAAGCAGATCTTTTGTGTTTAGGTAGGGTTACAATACAACACAGGATAGTAGACTGGCTTTGGATAATGGCATGTGGAGATGATTCAATGCCATAAATTCAGCAGCTAACACAATCTCCAAATATGTTGTGTTGCTGTGTTAGATTGTAATCCTTAATAAATTAAAGCACAAAGAAGAGACAACAATAAATTAGCTGGCTTTGTTCATGTTTCAAGGTAACCCTCACTCAACTGGCTTAAACTATTTTCAGCAATTTTTAAGAGAAGTGCCTAAAATGTGAATTTTAGGCTGGAAACACTGTACAGTAGACTGACTAATGTACTTCTGAGTCATCTAAGTATTAAACCCCCAAAAATGGCTTACTTGAATATGAGGTTTCAGATTCTTCCAGGTGACTGCATGAGACACTCCTTGATTAATGTAATTCAGCGTTTGCTGCAGAACTCTAGGAGCCATGTACTGCTTTTCCTTGTATTGATACAGCACCTTCAACAACACCTAGAGAAATCAGATCTCATCAGTAGCTTATACAGAGCACAGACCATTTTCATCCCAGTTCTACCCTCCCTCACAAGCCTACATAAGAACCCCTCAAAACTGAACAAAACCCCCGTTCATTCATTAGGCTAAAATGGGTACTGACTAATCCTTCTACCAAATGTCATTGTCAATTTTATAAGAGAACTTGCAGCTCATATTGGATGCTTGCACATCTTTTAAAAATACCATCCTTAATAACACAAACCATACATGCTAATTCACCACCAACACACTCCAGGGGGCCTTGCCCTCTGAGGTTTATTATTTCATCTTCACTCTTTGGGGGCAGAAATTCACACCCAGCCAATGGATCACAACACTCTACACTCACAGCCTACTGATCAGTGCCTCTGTGCTGCTTCAGAGCCACAGCTGTGTGAGGAATGTGTCTGATGGAGTGATCCATCAATCACTCCCTTTGGCTTTCTCAAGTCTCCTGAGGAGGCATCCAAAACTCCTCACAGGGATCTACCTGTGTTCAAGTCCAAGGCTCTCCACAGATATGGTCATGAAACAGACATGGGACCATGATCAGCAATTAAATTACAGCTCACAGGAGAGTTTTGCATGTGTAATGCAAAGGGAATGCCCTGTAGCCCAGTCCAGGTCAGTGGAAACACTGCACCTTCAGACGTAGCATCACTAACTGGAGAGAAATGGCAAGTCCCATTTCCAGGATTTCATGTAAGTCTTCACACAAAAGAAGCATTTTTTAAGAATCCAAACCCAAAAGGGCTGGAAAGATATCAATCAATCTGTAATGTTACAAAAATAAAAATCTGGGGAAAACAAGATTCATTATTCTGAGAATGAATGCTGCTGCTACCATTTATTACACAAACGCTGAAGTGTTTTTCCCAAAGGAATTGCCTTGCACTTCAGTTTAGGAAGAGTGCACTCAGTCATCAAAATATTCACAGCTTTACAAACAGTTATGCTCTAGATGTTTTATCAATTCTCAAAGTTTGAATTGCTCATGTTTAAAAACCATCAGGATTTAGACAGAAATTACTGGTTGGTGCCAACATCTGAGTACAAGGTTTTGGTGGTATTAGATATTGAGCTAGGGTAGAAGAGAGCAAAAGTTCAAACTCACAGCTGTTTTGAGGACTATCCAAAAAGATGTATGTAGTTTCATGATTCAGATGTAGTAGGTAAAGATATTAAAAAATTAAGAAAATATTTAAGAAGTGCAGTGAGGAAAAGCAGGATGGACATTCTGGGGCAAATAAAATTCTCTAGCAGTGCCAAGGAACTACAAGGCAGCAGTGTCTAACCAGGGCTTAGCTCTGGCTCATGAGAAGTGTCTTGAGCAAAACAGCTCCTAACACAAGGGATAAATTCAGGGTATTCCAGCCTGGTTTGGACAAGCTAAGAAAGTTTAGCTAAAGTGAATGCTGACTGTACAGAATTTTTTTTTTTTTGAGGGGTGAGGCCTAATCAATGAGAAGCAATTATGACAATAATATTAGCAGTATATTTCAAGTTTATACTTGAACCATCTGTAGTTTCATGTCTTATATTTATCTATTACTCCTTTACTAAAAGGATGCAAACACTTTGGAGAGTAGAGACAACTCAATGAAATGTATTATCCAAATTTATATTCTTCAGTATCCCATAGATTTCCAATTTTTGTAAAGAAACACAACCTGCTCAAAAATCTTCCACAACTTTTATTTGACAGATTTCATGTCCTGAGCAGAGGCCCAAGATCTGTCTTCTGCAGAAAAATGGAGGGCAGAATCTTAAATATAGTCTGTCTTCCTAAACAAGTTACATTCTTTTTTAGGAACAAATTAAGCCTGCTAAAGTACTGCTTTTTTAGCAGCTTTCTTTAAAATACCTGAATTCTTAGAGTTTCCTAGCTGCAATAACAGTGAGGATCAAATTTGATTTAAAAAGAAAAACAAGTATTTTGTCAAACTTAAAATTGTCGAAGACTACTTTTGGCCATAGCCTTTTGTCAGAATTTCATTTTATCTTGGAAGTGCAAAGCAAGCAATAAGCCCTCAAAGAACATGCAATAATTAACTGTCTAATGTCACCTGGAGGTGACAGGTGAGCACCTCAGGAAGCAGTGCTGACACCACTTGTCTAAGGGGAATGTTGGGATATATCGCCTTACACTCAATGTGAAAAATATTTTCCATATTTTGGCCAACCTTCAAAAAGCATGGATTTATGAGATACTTTCCCTACACTTCTTCTTTTAAAGCTCTGTAATTCATTATAATTTCATTAGAAATTAAGAGAACTGAAACTGAACTAAGAACTGTTTGTCTGACTCAAAGGCTTTGAAGGAAACATCCTACACCATGAGATTTTCATAAATTGTCTATTTATATTTGCAACATAATTACCTTAAAAGAAAGGTATTTATGAACCAAATATGAGGAAATTTTATAAAAACATACCTGAGATTTTTAATTAATCCAAAGTTTCTTTGCACATAGATGACCCTAAAACACAGCACAAATGGCAACCCCAAAACAGGGAGACAAGTGGAAAGGGAACATCAGAATTACCTGACTATAAGAGAGCTTCTGCTTGATCAGGCTTTTGCAGAAGGTTGAAAATTTATCACTTACAGACTTTAAGTCAAAAAAACCTTGCATACAGAGTTTAAAAGGTAGTTCTGAAGGGCAACTACACCACATACACCCATCTCTTTCAGAAAGGAAAAAAATTGTAGCATTTGTCTGAAGCTTATCTGAGGGCTTGTAAGTGGAAAGTCGATTGTGCCGTGTGGCAAATTGATAATTTCTTTCTCATTCTTTTTTTTAGCCCCCAAACATCACTGCTTTCCATACCAAAGTGCTTGGGGGAAAAAAAAAGTGAGTAAGAGCAAGAAGCCTTTCAGCAAATACTGAAATAAGCAATCAGTACTAGCTCTAAACCTATCCTAACACTGCCCCCACACTCAGTGTTTCTTACTTGCTGAACACCAACAGCGAAGGCCTTCAGGAAAACTTCAGCAAACTCATTGTACTCCTTGGAAACATTACCAGGGCTTCCATACCTAGAATTAGAAGCAAGTATGTAAACTCAGGTGTGCAACAATATTACTGATTTAAATATTTGGGGTTTTTTTAAATAATAATGGAAGAGAAAATACCTCTCAAAGAGCCTAGCTAAGATATGCAAAGCCCACTTCTTGCATTTCCACCATGGCAGCTCAGGTCTATCATCCTCATCAACCTGAAGGGTTTCCTTTAGGAAAAAAAAAAGACATTATTTACCAATTACTAACAAAGAGTTCAAATTACATGTTATTTGAGCAACTACATAGTATATCTAGCTTTTAACCTGTTATTTACACTTCTAGCTCAATTAAAGTATGAAGTAGAGCATATCTAAATTCCATTAAATATGCCTAAATGATCAATAAATTTTTGAAACAAGTAGCCAAAATAAGCTTTGCTATATTTTGAAAACAGAACTCGCATACAAGCTATATATTTTCAAAATCTGTTTAGTCTGTTTAGACTAATCTAAACCCATTTAGCCTAATCTTTTTTATTTATAATTTCCTTGGCATCTGTACAGTAAAAAGAATGCAGAAATAAAATATTAAACTGTTTAACATTCTAATGAATGAAAAAAACTTTAAAGTTTAAAGACATAAATAGCCAAAAGCCACTTACAGCTGGTACATCCCTATCAACAACAGTCTTCAGGATTTCTATCCACTCAGTCAGGTTTTGCTGATTTATCAACTCCAAAGGTAATGTGTACTAGGTAAAACAAAACAAAACGGGAAATTATTTTTGAATTTCTTTATAGTTAATTTGTTACTTTCACAGTTTGAATTTTAGCTTTCAAATCTTTGCCTACACTTAGCTATTATGAAAGAGCAATTTACCACAAAAACAAGGCTAAAGAACTCAACACAATCTAACCTATATCCTAAATATCCTCAAAGGTGCTAAAGGTCTCTGCTCCAATTCATTGTGCTTATGCAATGCTAAAATGCTACTTAAATGGATGTTACTCTGATTTCTGAAGCATTTAACAGCAGTTCCATTCCAAATTCCTGTATTTACATTGGTAATTATCTGTAGGCTGGCCTCCACAATCTGTCCTTAGAAAACTCATTTTCTAACTGGTTTTCCAGCAAACACCCTACCTTAAAGGATGGCTTGTGTAAGTTTTATCTAATGCCAACCAGGAATAGCACTGTACAAAAGTAAAAGCACAAGACAATCAGAAACTTGTGATTCATGGAGCTGAGTAGAAGGGAAAATGATTCAGATGTAATCTAATACTGTAATATTTTTGTCATTCACTATTTTAAGGAAAAGCATAATGCTTTTAATTATTGTTCAAGTATATACTAAGTTTTTTTTTACCTGGACAAGGGCATAAAATATTTTGAAGATCTGTTTCTGGATGAGGACAGACTGGTCTGATGGATCATTCAAGAGCTGAATGAAGCTGTCCTTCAGGACTGGCAGAAAATGTTGCATTGCAGCTATCAAGGGACTCCGTTCCTCTGGTTTCTTGTACCTTTAGAGAAGAACAAAACCAGTTTTGTAGTTCTTTTGGGCAGCTTTAAATTGCAAAAGCTCACCTTGCCCCACTGTAGGCACAAGTAGGTTATTTGACAGCTCATAACAACCTGTGACTTAAAAACAAACCTAAATAGTTCCTGAGACAAAACCTGAAATAAAGCAACAGCCAGACAGTGTTACAGATGAGAAATAGATTAATCAGAGTCCACAATTTATCAAAATATTTGCAGAAGCTAGATTGCTTCACTGACACTGGACAAAGCAAACTGAGAAGTCTCTCACAGGCTGCCACTGATGGCTCTCACAGCTCACCATTTCATTTGCCCAAAGCCAACAGTCTGATGGAGAAGGTGGGATTCCAACCTGTGGAGCAGATTGAGCAGGCAACCACCCTTGAAATAAAACCTCAGACCTTCTCTGCTGGGGACAGCCCACCCACTTGCCCATGCTGAAAACAAGGCTCCACTTAATTTCTCAAACATTTCAAAATTCCTGAAAGGAAACAAAGCTACATTTCAAAATCTTTGCCCCAAATTTTAACTCATACACAAGAAACTCCTAATTGATTCAAGAGTTGCCACAGCAGAGCAGGATCTTGTCTATACTGGTGATGACAATAACAAGATAAAATATCATTTTATGATTGTACATTTATTTCTTGATTCAGCAATCAATACTTGTCAGATTCTTGGACTCCCGTGGGAGATTTCAGAGTTAGAGGATTGAGCTTTGTTTGGTTTGTTTTTTCAAACATATTTTTTGTAGACTTTTCACTAATACTAAATATCAATACTCAGCTTCCTAAACAGTGGCAATTTTCAGAATATAACAAGAAAAAGACTACTCAATCTGCTGCCAGATGATATATTCTCTTATAAACTACTACGAAACACTGAGCTCTTAGATCCTGTTCAATAATACAGTTTTCATGCATTTTCCAAACCAGAAACCCAAACATTAAGATTAAACATTGCTCAGGAAAATTCAGTTTCTCATTTTCACAAAAAAAAAATGAAAAATACTAGAAAAAAATACTATGTTAAGAGCAGCCATTTGATCTTGCTGGTTGAATTTGAAGGGGGAAAAAAAAAAAGTGAAAATCTCCAAGATATTTATGTCCCATGTTAAGGAAAAAAAGAAAAATCCCAACTTAAATATTCCTACACGTCAGGCAGTAAAAACCTGATCAAAGTCATAACATTACACAGATTCGTGTCCCACTAAACTGACTGAAACACACTGAAATGTGCACATTCCTACACAATTCGTGACATGAAACTCACCCTTGCTGACTCCACCAGAAAGCTGAGCAAGCAGGAGCAGTTCCAGGCCTCAGCTGAAGTGTTTGATCAGCTGAGACTACAGACACACCCGTTACTTATCACACAGTGACTGCACTCAGATCCCTAAACATGGATTTCTGTCATCATAATTCCCTGCCACTGAACACTTCTTGATTTACAGCTCACAGATCTCTGCAGCGTATTTGGTTAAAGATGTTTAAGCTGAAAATCAAGTGAGAACGCAATTTTCAGCCACTAAGAAAACTCCCACTTGGGATTACGAAGATCTTTATGGCATTCCTGTAAAAGTATTTTTGAGAAATTGACATTCACTGTTTTACGCTGATTGACGTAAAATTCACACAATTAGATGGACACTTTTCCATGCAACATTTTAAATCAATAACCTGAAACAGAAATGTTATGCATTCCAATGCTTTGAAAGAGTAAGTTGTGGATTCCATCAGCTGCACTACTACAATTCCCTGACTCCAGGACTGTCCCTTTCTCTGATCACCCAAGTGTTCATACCAAACTCAGTTAACTAATTCTGAGATCCAAACATTCCAGATTTCACATTGAAACCTTTCCATGGTTACTGTCACCAAGTACTAGAGCACAAATTGCTTAAAAGTTTAAATCTGACTTAAATAATAAATTCCTGCAGAAGTCATGATTTTGAGCAGACTTTCTAACTGCCACCAATCCATAAAAGACAACTTCCACATTAAGGTTTTAAGATACTTGTTTTTTTCTGAATTCAAACTTTTAATGAAGGCATATTTTTCTGTAATTTTTAGTGGAGAAGATATATGAGTCAGCACCTGCACAGCAAATAGTTGAGAATATTTTCTAAGATTACATTTCCATCACCTTGGTCCAGTCCCACAGACAATTCTACATGGTTACAGTATACACATAGAGTACAAAAAATAGACACCAATATATTAATTCTGCTGGTTTATATTGAGAAAGACCAGAAAGAACTTACTCATAGTTTTTCACAAGTTGATAAAGACAGAGAAGAATTCCAAGCCAACAAGCACTGTTGTCAGACTGGAGATAAAATCCAATTTTCTCCACAACTGCAGTCCAGCGACTTGGATAATCATACTTGATAATGTGGTGAATGCAAGTAGTAAGCTGTACTCTGGAAATCAAAAGCACAACAATTAAATAAGTTACTGCTATTATTTTAATAATATTCTTGTAGTGTTGAAGCAGCAAATACTGTCCATACTTAAGACTTCCTTTTTGTTTCAGTTTAGGTTCTGTAGTTTCTGCTTAACAGTCTCCATTGAAGGAATTTAAAACTTCTACATGCTACAAAAGCTGAAAACTGTTTTTCCATCTACATTAATCCTATGTTTAGGATACACAGTGTGTGACAATGATGCTTAGCACGTGGGTGATCTTGACTGAGAGAAAAATAAAAAAAAGAAAGAAACCCAACAGTCAGAATCCACAGGCAACTCATGCAGAGGCTGAAACTGTTCACCTGATCAGCTCAGGAGAGTGGATAATGGCTTCTACAATGTTCTCACGGATACAGTGTCTGTCTTCTTCTGGGATGGAGTAAGGTGGGATCTCTCCTGGAGCACTGTCACGGTCCGGCCAATACTGGGTTATCATATTTTTCAAGTAGATAACTCCTGTGAAACAAGAGTGGCAAATCAGCTGACAGACATTCCAAGTACAAAACAAATGCACAACTCGCAAGTGAATATTTTTTAGAACAAGATGAACCAAAATTACAAAAGCATTGACCCTAAGTAGGAGAATCAAAATACATAAACCGTGCAATTTATTAACCCAATAATTTACTAAATTCATACTTTCACCCATTTAATATAAAATACTAAACATATTGCTTTCATCTGTGATTCAGGTAAGCAGTTGTGGAACTATTTAGCAATTTCTGAAAACTCCATTATAATGATTTTCTCAATGTTTTCATTAAAACTGAAAAAGAAAAGCTGATCAATACTAATGACAACCTAAAACATCCCTTGTAAGCAAAAAAATCTAATTAAGTTGGTGATACAGGAATGAATACTGGAGAAACAGAGCTCTTTTATATCCAGGTTATGGTCTACAGCAATTTGTAGCAATCAGGCTCCTGGAACAAACCCTGCATTTACTATTTGATAACCAAATCCAAACTGCTTCTGTGGCAGAATATAAATCACAGCACTTGGAGAACATGCAATAGGAAATCTCAAATGGCAAACTGATAACAAAGTTACTGTTAATCTAATTCTACATAGAAGTCCATAAAGCAACTTCTCTTCCTAAATTTCATATGCATCTTTTAAAGATTCAGAAACCAGAGGGTTTCTGAAAGTGTCTGTGGAGGTCAAGAAAGACTCAGCAGATGATTATAAGACTGAAGTGACAGAGACGTCAGCCAGCCCTCAGAGGGATTTATCTTTAATTGCTTTGTGAACACACACTGTTTGTAAGCTGGGCCTTGCATGAGCCATCCCCGCTCCCCACAGGATGCTCTGGGGTTTAATTGGCTAACATGGAGGAGGGTGAAATTTCAGAGGTTTTCTTCAAACTTCTTTTTGTATGTTCTACTTGTAAAGCAGTAAGCTTTTTGAGTCATCATTTGAATTATACCCCCAAGCAGTAAGATAAAAATGCAAGCTAAGTTTAGGCTACAACTTAGAGTAGTCTACTACATGGAAGGTCAAAATAAGCAATCCAGATCACACCTTCCTGACCAGTCAGAAAACCCACTGAAGTATAGTACTAAAAACCTCTACCAAGTAATTAGAGCAGCTTTAAGGCAATGTTTAGAGCTGTCAATAATCAACATCCAATTTTACTGATGGCTCACATGCAAATAAGCAGGGTTCCAAAAGGCATAATTTGTTTTCTTCCACTTAATATATTTAGAAACTTAAGTGCTCACAGTCCAAGTTTAAATAACCTTCTTGGACTAAGTGCACCAGCATCATAAACCATTCTGCTTCCCCCAGGAATGTTCACTAGAGATAAAGGGGAAGAATCATTCAAGAGCCAGACACACCTTTTCTTTCTGTCTTCCTTACTCAGTGTATGGTGCCAGATAATAGCTCGTGATGACTGTAATTTGAGCAACTCCCAGCTTCTGAGTGCTTGACATTAAAATCATTAGAATTCTTTAACAGTATCTGTACGTGTACTTGTGTATATGCACCATCAGAGTAGATACAATGAAAAAAATATTTGAAAACTTGCCTGCCTGTCTCACTGGTAAATCCAGTTGCTCGGACATAGTGATCTGAAGCAGGGTTGAAACAAAGTTCACTGACTTATGAGCCTATGGAGAGGGGAAAAAAAGAGTTGAGTTTTAGAATACTCCCATTAAGATTTACAATATCTTTATAATGATGTAATGCAATCAATAGAATACCAGCAATTCAGCCAGTTGCACAGGAGTCAGCTAATCAGCCAAAGCATTCCAAAGTTTTGTGCTCACTGCATTTTGAAGACAGCAATGGGGGGAGAAAAAACCCTACCGGTTTAAGGTAACAGAGCTGAAGAAATCACTGAACAGCAATCAGCCTTCCACAGTAACCAAACATGCTCCCCATTCAGAACAAACACTTGAAGAGCACCTGAACAGCCCAAAAAACCCAAGAGCAACAAGTTTACAGTGACCTCTAGCAAGGTATGAGTTCATTCTATAATAACAGAAGAAACAGATGGGAACTATGTTTTAAAACTAAGTCCAACTCCTACTTCATCTTTCTGAAAGACCAGTTTCAAGGGATCACTGCTGCAGCAGCTGTCCACAGAAGTACCCAACAGAAAAGCAACAGCAGGGAGATCCAAATGGAGACACATCTGCAGAGTAACAAGTTCCCGAGGATTTGCAGGAGTTTCACTTCGAAAGAAAACAAAACATGTTTTTTCTTACCATATGGAAACTGTCATTGATACATTACAGACTGGATTGTATTTTCAATGAGGAAACAAACCTTAACGTTATTATAATACCCTTTAACCACCTTTCACAAGCATCAAGAACTCCAGACAATAAATTAATTTTGCTGGGAAAAGTGAGTTGCAATCCTTAAAAACTAACTCTGCTTTTTTTAACTGAAACCAAACATAATTTTCCTCAAGGTGAAGAGTCCATGGACATGAGTTACAATGGGAAATCCCTATTTTATGCATGGAAAAAAAAGTCACAAGAGAGGCCAAGGCCTGGAACACTTATCCACTGTGGGACCTCATCCTCAGAGATACTCTGTTGGACAAGTCCTGATCTACCTCATTCAACTTCCAAACAGCTTTGCTTTTCTGCAAAAAAAAATCTTCACTTTCTATCTTCACTTACACAGCAACATTGTTTCCTATGTTCTTTGCAGTTCCCCTACCAAAGACAACTGCATAGATCCACCTAATTTAACCTGTTGAACTCTTAGGAAAATACCTCTTACCCGCTTGTTACTTTCAAAACCACTGAAATTACACTATTTATGAAAACCAAATGGCTGCCTCCGATACTGCAGCAACTTCATATCATAAAGAGAAATAATCAGAAATTATCCTTCCATTCCCTTTGTTGAGACCAAAAGCTCTTCTGACAGTATGAAATGATGTCAAGATTCCTCCTGAGTGTGTAATGCTGCTCAGCTCACTCATACAGTACCAGAATGTTCTCTTCAACTTTCATTTTCCTGAGCAAATACCTCCAATGGGTTCCAAACAAGGGTAAAAGGGACAGCCTGGGACATGACACTGGTACTCAGGTTTGGTTAGTGTAGCTTGTTTTCTATCTCCTGTTCTTTAAAACAGATTTCAAACTTAAGAATCTGCCCAAAATGTTAAAAACACTGCTGTACACATTCATCCAGTGCACTAAAACTCTACAGGCTCCAGAGCACCCAGAGGCATCTGGTCCCACTGAAATGTTTATTTGCAGAGTGTGATTCGATGAACTGAGAGTAACTGACACCGCAATATGAGCACACGTCCTGCTGACCCATGTCCCTCTGATATTCCCCAAGTCCTCAAGAAGCAAGAACACTTTTAAATGGAAAAATAAAAGTGCAACTGTCTTCAACTGCCAAGTAATGGCTGAATAAATAAATTGAAACTCAAATTTACTAGTTGGGTTAGATTCCTCCTACAGCTGCGGGTCCGTTAAGTTCCTCCTTTCCTTAAGGAACATTAATAGACACACAGAGTCCTGCAGCACATTCCAAATGACATCAGACCCTAATTCAGCACAGCACTCAATTATACGCTTAACATTAATGTCAGCGGAAGTGCTCCTGTATTTAACGTGTTGTGAACCTGAAGAAAGCTTTCAGTTTCAATAACCTTTAACTCACCTACAAATAAGGTCATATTAGTCTGCATAAAATGGACTTAAAAGTGAAAACTGATGTCTTTCCACAAGGGCTATAAGCTTAACAGATACCTTTTCTATACTGAAAATTTGCAATGTTTGCAAAGTCAGAAGCACTTAATCCTATAATTTTAAAAATTAAGGATTACTTTTCCTTTCCCATGATAAATGACTGCTATTCTTGTAATAAAAACCATCCATTTCAGCAACAAATATGGAAATAATGCTTAAGAGCTACTAAGGAACTAATGGAAAAACCAAAAGAAATTAAATTTTAAAATTTTGTGTCTTAAAAGAAACAAATATAGACAGCAGTGTACAAAGCTGCTACACACTGAAATTTAATAAAATACCACATAATGTTTTCTTTATTTACAAAGACAGGTCTGAGCCTGTGCCCATAGCAGGCTACAGAAGCTCCCTAGAAATATCAGTTCTATCAGAATGTGGGATTAATATATTTCCATTGGGTTCTTTGAACTATAGCAAGCTTTAAGGGACAAAACCAAAACATCTACACCATTATCTGTTTGGTTTTTTTTTAAATCTTACAAGTATCATCCTTATTAGCATCTGAAGCATCAGACTCCAACCAACCATGAGGATGAGCTGCTTTATCACCTTTAGTGGTTCAAAGCAGATTCAGCCAAGATATAATCTGTGCTTTTAATACAAGTAAAATACCTTCTACTTGCCAATCAAAGCCTGCTCTTAATCCTCTCTGTTAATACCTACATTCACACAGAGCTACATTAACACTTCCATGCATTCTCTATGGAATATAAAGGACTCCCAAACTCTTCACAATGACCTCCTTCCCAAGCCACTGAAAGGAAGGTGGTTGCAGTGCAACTGAGATGTAGGGACAAGTAAGGACAATTCCATGAAGAAAAGGGTGTACTGAATGCTCAAATAAAACACCAAGTACTACAATTACTTCTCACATGCTCCCTTGCTCTGCTTCACTCTTAAAAAGAGCATCCAATGTTTTACTGGCACTTGGGAAAAAAAAAAAACCCTGAACCTAAAATAAGACACCACCATAGGTGCCTTTTTGTATCTACAGCATTAAAAAATACTGAATCCACATCTCTTTCAGCTATTTCCAGCTTTAATAATTTTACTCCCCCGAGAGGGCTGCCTCTCAGGACAGCATGCTCCTCTTCACTGACTGCACTGCTAAAAAAAAACAACCATACTAAAAACCACACCTATTTTAGGTTCATTTCTGAACTAAAATCAGGATTTCACAATGGTCACTATCACATACTCTAAACTACATGAAGAACAGAAAATTTTTAAGACTTGAAAGCTTTGACATTGGTAAAATTTGATTTTTATTCTCTTGCTCCTTGTTTACATTTAAAAGTAAACATTAAATTTAGAAAACTAAAAGGGTTTTTTTTAAAATAGTTCTGTCGCAGAAGTCAGTTTTCCAGCACTTAACTCAGCACTTAAAGAAAAACAAAACCAAAACTCATCTCAAGTCTTTCCCACTTACAAAAGGTCTGACATGCCATGTCACTGGTATGACTTTGCTGTCTAAGAGCCAAAGAATTTGGGGACTTTTCCCAAGAGCAATCTTTGCTATGCAGCCTGGCTAGCTGAGGAATGTGTTCTATCAGACCACAAACCTTGCACCACTGTCTCTTAATCCCAATCACTGCTCCAGAACACACAATCTTTTTGCACAGTCCATTGCAATTTTTCCTAGCAGGGTTGCTTTGTCAGACATGTGCTAAAAGAGACTTTTGAGAAAAGAGTCATACCAGCTGCATAATCCAAAAGAGGAATGAAGTTCAAAGTTAACATTGAAGAAACCAGTTCATGGCATGTGAACTATGAATAGTTAATTACAACGTGGAAAAGCACTTTTCCTCTAGTAATGATACTGCAGTAAGTTACATTAATCTTTAATGCTGGAATAATCTCTCACACAAAGCCTGCGTGCCTCTAAATGATAAAAACAAGTTTCATCTGGAGTAAAAAGACCTCCATGTGTTCTTTTCAGACATCAGGAAGCTGACATACCATAACAAACACACTACAATAGGCACCTCCTTTACTGTTGCCCAAAAAAGCAGAACAGATGAGCAACACTTACTATATGCTGCTGAACTGGAACCCCAGGTTATTTATATAGCTCCTCAAAGTAGCACACATGTGAATAAAAGCTAACATTTTAAAAACAAAGTAGATGGAAAAAATAAGAATTTAATGCTTCTCCTCCATTCCAGTTTTTTTGGGGAAACAAAAATCTAAGTAATTTTTGATCTGGGCCATAGCAGGACTGGGTGAACATAACTACTACACTGAGATGAAACTGTTTTCTTACAGAAAGGTAAGGTCAGGAGCTGTAAGGCCACGCTGAATCAGCAAACTGCCCCGTGGCAATCTTTTAATTCTTTTTTAAGAACTCAGCAGGTGTGGAAGTCATTCTGACCTCAGGTTTTTACAAGCCAGTTCTGCCACCTCTCATGCAGCTACAATGTATATGCAAACCTAGTTCAATGTCCACAAAAGACACACACACACATTTAGCAGTTCCTGCATACATCCCTGATGCTCTTTTCTTCGCTGCCTGCAAGTCTGAAGGACTTTTTGCTCTACTGCTGGCTGAGGAAAAAGCAATGTGCTCCTAGCAGAGGCTTGCTAGGCACACACAGAACTATTTGCTAAGACACAAGAAAGTGGCAAGTGGCCCTTTCTGCTCGGATTTTACCTCATGCTGGGCAACTTGCACCAAGGAGGAAACTTCTTCCTGGAGGAGCCAAGGCTCCCTTGGTTCCTTGCTGCCCCCAAGGGGATTCCTGGTGTTGGACCAGCCTTGGCACATGCAGCTTGAAACACTCTTTCCCAAAGCACCCCTCATCTAACACACACCAAAATATACGGATGGAAGATGGGGGAAGTGAAAGTAACCAAGTTTAACCCAAGTACTTTGGGTAAAATGTCACACCAGCAACTTCAAAAGAGACCCCATGACCTGACAATCACAGCCAAGAAAGTCATGCTTTGCTCTTTTTCTCATACTACAACGTAGAGCTGTACATGTTACACATGAAGACCATGTTAGAAAAGGTTTTAAAAAAAAATCAAGCTGGAGGTAACACTATGAACACCTCGCTCAAAGTATCCATAGCATTCCAGCTTTTGGAAAATCCTGTCTGAAAGACTCCATGTAAGAAGCAGATTGCTTCTTCCCCTTTGACAACCTTTCACTGCTAAACTCTCAGCAGCTAAGAGGCCAGTCATTTAATGTAACTCATTCCAGCCTTCTGACATTTGTAGCTATTAAGCAGGCAGTGAAAGGCACTGAACTAGGCCCTACTGCACTGTTAAATCAATGGTGATGGTGGCCAGCCAACAAAATTTCCTCTCTATCCTTCCCCTGTCACTCATATTAGAACATGAAAAACCTCAAATGTAACTTCTGAAAGTCACTTTCCAGTACAGCATCAGGATGTCTTCCCAAACAAACTCTGTTGAGCTCTGACTTACAAAAAAATGATGAGTTATAGAAGATTGCACTTTTTTCTCCCCTAAACATTGTCAGATGCAAAAATTGGGTTGTTAGTCTAAAAAGATGTCTTAATAGCTCACACACCGAGGTTAATCTCAGACTTAGAAGACATACATCATGATGAAGTTATACTTCTGCATCTATACAACTGCATCTTTATAAATATTTTGATATTAAAAGGTGAAACAACACTGTATTTTTTTCAGAGTCTCATTCCATAGCTGCATAGTTTAAAATACCTATTTTCATCACAAATTCAGAGAAACACTTCCTATATGGAGCACAAAGACTATTTCAAAAGGCAGTAATGTCTTCCTGCTGCTCTCCAGTAGTTTATGTGAAGATTCTGGCTCGAAGTCCTGAAAAAACACAGCTTTCCCCTGTGGGACAAGGACAGAGATGGGAACACCTCAGGGTACCCCATCAGCTGAAAATTCTCAGACACAAGAGCCAATGATCTCATTCCCTGTAACGTTTTTTTCACAGTGAGAAAAGTAAAGAGACCAAAATACCTACTTTTTAACATTATCTCAACTCTGAAAGTTCTCACAGAGCCTTTTATGTGCAGGCAATAGAACCTGATAAAACTTAGTGAAGGGAGAAAAAGTATAGAATAATTCATGACTTGGCCAAGGTCAAAGGAAAAATAATAGAGCCTGGACAAATCAAGAATCATACACTCCAGTCCTCTTCTCCAGTCAGGAGAACTTTGTTGACTGATAGGATATGGTGAAGACAGATCCAAATACTTGGTTAACTCTTAGCTACTTAGATATCTCTTGCACTAATCAGGAATATCAATTACAGATTGATGCACGGTCTTTTCTGGTAAGGTAAAATGACCATTCTGCTGAAAGCCAGTCTCATCAGCTCAACAGGGGCACTTCTGACAAATTAAAGGTAAAGTGAAAGGTCAACCAAGGACAACTATTAAGCTATAAAACACCCGTGCAGGCCTGGCCATGCACAAGAACAGTGTTCTCTGCTGATGTGATCTCATCTTTACACAGAAAGAGACCCCCATACCTGTAATTAACTGGTAACAGAACTGCTCTCACATTAAACAAATTCAGACCAGCATTCAGCAAGAAAGTGCATAACTGACTTCAATAAACCTAAGTAAAACCAAGACCACACATGTGACTAAAGCTGCACATATATGTAAGTGCTTGCAGACTTCTGGTTTAGCACATATTTTTATCAAAAAATATCTGTCAAAGATTAGTGATGCTCCATTTCCCACAGAAAAGAATTCTTACATGCTGGTTCAATAATATCTGGGGTTTTAAAAGGGGCACAAATATTCTGATTTTGTGCCAATTTAGCACTTGTGTAGTACATGATGAACCATGGGGTTTTGATTCCAAAGTGAGAACAAAAGCCAGTGGCCAGCAAGTGCGATCCTTCCTGCAAGAGTTTGCCATTTGCTGAAGACTCCGACTGGCAGTGAACATTAATTCCCTGCACCTTCAGCAACTCAATACCTGCAGAAAATAACTAAAATAAATTTCAAGCAAGTTACTACATATAAATATTGACATCCATTGAACATGGAAAAACATGCATTTTTGGGGCCAGCTTTAGATTTCACAGATACTGCTGTCTTTACAGGCCATCACATTTCTTGCATTTTTTATTTAAATAACAAACATCAACACACTTTTTAACAGACTACATGGAAAAGACAGGCAATTGCTTTGTACAAGCGTCAATTAGTCACTGAGTAGTTTTAGAGCTATCTATTTCAAAGGTACCTAATATTTATTTGCTATTCACTTATTAAATAACATGCAGGAATCACTTTTTTATTTTCTGAGAAGCTATGCCTTTAGTTTTTGAAATTTTCTCCACTGCCAGCAGAACATTTGGCCCACCTTTATCTAAGCTCTGCTGAACATCTGTTGCATTACATGAGTATTGTCAGGCCCAAAGTCTGCTCAAAAGCAACAAGAAAAATGCTTTTGGAAAAAGGCAACTAAAGGCACCACAAGAACTGCCACACGGGCTTATCCTTCACCTCCTCCATCAAGAGATCCTCTTTTCTTTGGGTCAAACACCAAAACACTTTTGTTCTCCAAAATGTCTACAAGCCCCGTGGCTGTGTCTCATCAATAAAGTTTTCACCTACCAGGTGAGGTTAAGCGGAACAAAAACAAAATTTTCTTCCAAAATGGAAGTCCGTGGAACTGGGAGCTGCTGGGTTTTTACATCCCAGTGTGTCAGGTGAGTGCAGTGCAAGCGGATGACACAGCTGGGCCGGAACCCTGTCTGCCCCCGTCCCTGGGACACGTGTCCGCATACACCCAGGGAGCACTCCTACCCCGGCAGCCCTGCTGACCCCGGAGCCCACAGGATTCGGAGCACCAAACCCCGCCAGGCTGCCAGATCTCATTCTCAACTCGGCCCAGGCCATCAGATTTGATTCCGAACTCAGCCCAGGCCACTCTTAAACGCTGCACTGCTTGCGAAGTGATGGGGCTCCTGCCACCTCCTTCCCCGCTGACAAATTACTGCTTTCAACACCCAAGAACTGATGTCGCTTAGATGGTCCCTGTGTCCAGCCGGAGCCACCGAAGGCCTGCACGAGGGCGGTTTTAAACCCTGCTCAGCAGATCACCGTTTTCCCGGCCGAGCACGGAGACAATGGAGGCAATTTGTTACGGCCGAGTA